TCATCTGTTCTGTGCGACACTATTGGGCGACCTTGCCCCACCGGCGACTCCGAGAGGCTCATCCAGGTCGCGAAATCGTCAGCCCGCCACGGCTCTCGCAGTTTTGGGTACCGAGAACGGTTACGGAGTCATTGCTATCCCCTTACTCCGTACTGCCACACAGACGCTGTCCATTGTCTCATCCTCCTCCTCCTCATCCTCACGCATTTGTCAAGTTCCTTGACTCCCTCTGTGATTTTTCTCGGCTTACGGAATCGCCGTATTCCGGTTAATGGACCTCAGAAGCATGCGCTTTATTCCTCGTCATGACTTCGCTGAGACGGTAGATGATGCAGTCAGTCCATCCACAGCCTCGTCCAATTCCAATTCGATGCTGCCATAGCTGTTATCCAACAAGTACGGAGTAGTATGCCGAGATTTGGCAACAAAGTGTCAAGTCAAATAGCCAAGCTGAATATCCCCATTGGTCATTCGACTTTCTTCAATATGCCGCTTAGGATTGTACCATTCTCACAAGTACCGCCCCCATTCTTACCCTCCCATAACTCACTGCCCACTGCTACAGACCTCTCCACGCTCTTGAGAAGAAATGTGAGCGTTTTCAACCTTTACCTACCAGAGTTGATCCATCTTCACCTTCGGTCTCGGGTGATAGTGGGCACTGCTCGATCCCGTCTCTCTCCATTCCATCCTCGCTTGACAACAAATAAGCGAGAGACGCTCCGTACGTACTAGTGGTGGTAGTAGTAGTGTTGGAAGTTTATTTGGAACAGACTTTGTAGGCAGAGCGGGAATAGCAATACTATGAGTCTATGCCCCACGGCATTGTTTGTCTCCCTTGCGGCTCTCGCCCCCATTTGAGTCGTCGTAGCCCATTGGGGGCCAAGCAACTTGATTAGAGGCAGGAATGGACTTGTCGTTTGTTGCCAGCTAGCATTTCAGACATCATTTTCAATCCCATCGAAAACACCGAAAAACGAAGAACCTCGAACGAATCGCCCTTTGATCAGTCAAGACATAGTAGCCGACCTGAGACTCACTAACCCCTACCTATGGATGTTACGCAGTAGTCAATACTTCTCCGACTCCATCCATCTGTGTATGTCTCTACGGAGTAGTTCCAAAGCAGCATCTGAATCCCATGCCTGCCTTGTTGGCTCTGGTGTAACTCACTGTAATACTACTTAATTTTTCCCCTTAAATTAATGGCATCCGCCCTTGGTGTCAACTGGCCTCTGCCCTTGGTTGTGCATTTCTTTTTGGGACAAGATCCACATGCAGTCAGGTCCTTATTCGCGTACGGAGTACTCCGTATACAGGATGTTTTGAGACTTGCTTCTCCTGCCCGTCGACAGTAATATGAGCTAGATTCTGAGTCGCTTCATCCTCATCCCAAAGTCTGCAGGTTCATTTCAGTCAAGTATCACGCAGCAGTGTGACAGACTGACAAAGCAGCCGAGGGGGAAAGGCCCCCTGTAGGACATGTTGCAAAACATGACCTGATTACTGTCATGCTTTCTTTTGACAGCCTCACTTGGTCACATCAGTCGCAAGCAAAGGGAGCCCCAAATGCCAATACCAATGCCTATGCCTTGGACTCCGAGAAATTCCCATGGAGATTAGTCTCCAGAAGGCCATACTTGTAATCGTCGAGTTTGGCTTGGTACCAAGCAGGGTCACTAGTAAGTTGCTTTGCCCGACACTCATTTCGCAAGCCTTGTCCTTCGTCATGCTCTTGCCCCGCAATGGCTTCTTGTTTGTCGTCAGTTGGTTGGTGGGAAGAGGAAAGGAACAAAATGCTGCTACGTAGCATGGCGCTCTAATAAGCGAGCTGGCGTTCGTTAATGCATTTGTGGTTGCGGCTTCCCCTGCGTCCTCTTCATTAAGTATTGCTGCTGTGCGCCGTAGGAACACCAGGCTCCTATTAGTCTGTCAGCAGCGGTTCTCTGTTTCCCCAGTCTATTTTCAGAATACTACAAGGCATGGGAACCCCCAACTTTAGAGCATCCATCGTGTTTTTTCATGGCCCAGTATCGTATCCGTCGTCGCCGATAACAGGACAATATACGAGGCAGGCCGGTTACTTGGTTGCAGCCATGGTGTCGGCCACCTCCCTCAAAATGCGGAGAGACATCATGATCCCAGAAACGCCAGAGCTGGAGTAAGAACCAGCCCACCTCCACTCTCCCCGCAGCCTCTTAGCGGTCGGTCCGAAAAGGCGATTCTGCAGGGCTGAGGAACAATAATGGGTTAAGCAAGCGATGATTTCGGTCTGCTCTGAACCACCAGCCGAGACTAGTCTGCTGAAGCTGTTGACTGGAAGAGTCTCGCACCATGAGACCGAAGGGGCGCTCGCAGCAAAGACACCTAAAAGACGTCTAGAAACTTCAGCACGATACCTCACCTCAGCAACTGATTTGCTTCCTGTTCGCCCAGGGACGTCTGGTCCTTCGGCAGCCATTTCGACTCTCGGGTACTTCTGGGAAAGAGAACTTCTGTGTCTCCTGTTAGCAGACGGGCCAGACCTACCAATGATAAATAACGCAGCCTGGTGTTCTCCGTGGGCCGGAAGCTCGCTCCCATGGTACCGATTGACCCTTTTATGTTGGTTGAGTGATTGCCCCGTCCCATTAGGCTGCCTGCCTCGCAATTCCCGGGGGGGGGGAGGGAACAGCAGGGAGACGGGAATTCGAAGTCATCCCACAGGAAGGAGGCTTTGTCAGTAGGGCTTTATCAGTAGGTCGCTCTTGCTGGTTTACTTGCATGTGTTCCTCCATCAATCGCAGCTAGGCCTGATAGGTCATTCATCCTCCGTAAAACCTGAGAATAGAAAGCATGCAGTGACAGGTTGTTTCGGTCTTGAGTAAAAACTGTAGTCAATGAGGCATTCTGTTGGCCATTTCTCACGAGAGCCAGTAGAACCGCTCGCTTTACAGCGCTTCATGGAACATGGATGCATTAGTTCACATGTCCCTTTCGTTGCCGAACTGGAAGCCCAAGACTCGTATAGGGTAGGTGCTGTTACACGTGGGAATAGACACGGCGTGGGTGGTGTGAAACAGGGCTCAGGAATATAGCAAGCGACTATACTGCTGGTCAAGTTCAAGTTAATGAATTCTATACAGCTTTTTGATATACACCCGCAACTGCAAAGAAACAACTTACCTGAGTGATCGAGGCAGACGATTGATGTCTATTCACCCCCCCCCTCTTCTCTTTTGGTGGGTGCATAACGCGGTTCACAAATCATGTTTACAAAAAGGAGGAAGAAGAAAAAGAAAAGAAGAAAGGCTTCTCTCCACCCTTCACACACCCGTAGGAATAAGAGCAATGAGCAAATTTTTACGAGTTCATTTGTATACGAAGCACCGTACCAAGATACCACATTCAGCACTCTCAAGCCCAAATGTGTCTGAACAGGTTGTATGTGCAAGGTCTAAATATTGCACATGCCGTATACGGAGTAAATACTACGCAAGACCGACCTGCGTGTCTCTAACTGACAATGAATCCAGGGGCAATTTGATAACCTGATAGAAAGCATGCTCAAGCAGCTCCATTGCCCGTTTGGTGCATGAAGAAAATGCAAGGGAGTGATGTGATGCTTGTATGCACTACATTCTCGTGGTTGAATTTATAGTTTTGAAACCGTCTCGGTTCACTTATTTCTGATGCTCAACTTGTGCCGCGACATTTGGACTGCTAATCTCACCACAGAGTGCGTGTAGAGACTGTGATAGGTCTCAAAAATTAGCAACAGGGACGAATGTTGCTTACCATCTCCACCTTGTGTATCCTTCTCTTGCTCTATGCGCCTGTAATTCGTGACTTGAAAAAAAGGGGTTGGCCCTCTTGTGTCACGTAAAGGCCAAGCCGTAGAAAGACAGCCACCCACCCATGGAACTCATATCTGACGAAAACGCCGTCATCAAAAAGATGAGAAATCATTGTCACAATTGCTGCAGGGAAACAAATTCAGAGCGCGGCAGACATGCTGAAACAGCTGAAATGCTACCCTCGCGGCTGCGGGACCTGCACGCCAGGCTGATTCTCTGAATGTGATATATCCTTCCTTGACAGACAGATGACATTAATCTCTGCAAAGAAACAAAATTCGCATTGTCCCATTCCGGAATACCTGCGAGGGTTTTGGTATGTGATTTTTAGGTACTCCGTACTGTGCTCCGTACAATAACAATACGCGGCAGAGCCCCCTTTTCATACATGGTGTACTCCGTATCAAGTCTGAGGATTCCGCCCACCGTCGCGAATGGAGCTTGGGCATTGAAAAGCATAAGTGAGTGGCCAATGAATGATGGATTCCCGTCTGACCTCGGTAGTAATCCAACACAGGTTCGCAACAGAGCAGTGGAGGGTGCGATTTCCGCGCACTCACTGCGCAACTCGGGAGAGCCATGTAACTTTCTCGCAGCGAGACGGCCCATCCCATGTGAGCTTGCTTCTCTGTCGCATCGACCCTGTTTATATCATTTGAACCACCAGCTTGACCCATCAAAAAATATGACAACTTGCTTCGCATCGCGTGAACTGCATTCCAGCACCAAATAGGGGGCAAAGGCAGTGCTGCGGCCATCGCAACTCGAGTGCTTTGCCCGAGGCATTCACAAGCTGTCGGCCTACAACTAGCCAGCCTGGAGTTGATGTACGAAAATTGACAACGTGAAGGCTGCTGACCCAAGAGATTCGGCGTGAAACAATGACTTCTATTTTCTCTAGTAATCGAAAGATGAGCTCACTGAAGGGCGCTCCTACCCTCCGCGACCACGAACCGCCACTCATTGCCGAATTTTGACATGGAAAACGTATTGGCCTCATGTGTAAAGACATCAGGCTGATTCTAGTAGTCTATATGGGACCAATTTGTGGAATGCCCGATTTGTGCAAGTATTTCAGGGGGAGGGCAGAAGTGACCAAACGCCTCCTACGAGCCTGTGACGACGCCGACATGACGAACTCGACAACATGGGCAAACGTCCGATTTAGCGAATGAGACTCTCATCAACTTCCTGATCGTCATCATAAATGAGAAATGCAGCAGATCCCACCGAGTACTTGGGAGTTGAGTAGGTCGGCGAGGGATGCAGGGCGTAAATCCGAGTTTGAATTTTATCATTGTATGCCGTCTGCCAAGGAAGTAACATTTCTGGAGGAACGTGCCATCCATGCCGCGTACTTCGTAGCCAGAGCCGAATTAAATGGCGGCAAGTCGTTTCGTCGTCGTCGTACGCTTCCCGGCGGTGGAGGAGAGCCCAGTTGTTCAGGAACAAAAGATCGCCACGCTCGAGATCAAGCTCCAGCTCCGTAGACAGGGCAGCTTCATCCAGTTTCTGGAGGGCATATCTCTGGTCCTGGGTCAGTACAGGGATGGATGATCCACTGGATGCCGGATGGGGACCAAATCTATTGGGGTCCATGCCGGTCATCAACCGGTCATGGTGCCATTTCATAACTGGTGCCAAGTAGTGTTGAGCATGACGCCCAGAACTGAGCGGCCTTAGCTTCTGTCATGTACATATGTTCGGATGAGAACAGGAGTTGGTGCCTACCATTGGACCGGCCAGTTTGGCTCGAACAGCGTCCGGACAACGGCGGGTTCCACGGTGAGTAGCCGGTTGAAGATGCTCGCCGCGGAACTGACAAAGGTAGAGCCCCTGCTGTGGGCGCAGTGACGCACTTGGAGCGCGAGAATATCGCATCCCATATCGTTGTGGAACGGCTTCAGGGCAGCTTGTCAGTACGATGCTGAGAGAGGCGGGTTGACATCTTGAGACTCAACCTACCAAAGCCGCATTGGAATGAATGCCGTGCCTCTTCTCCAACGGTACGTCCCACATTTTGGAGCTTGTGATATGTCCTAGCAGAGTATAGAGTTAGTACAGTATCTTTTTTGATGTGATATCACTCGCATTGTCATACTGAGAACATTGCCCTCTCGGTCTTGAATGCCTCGCTGGTCCGCAATGTAGCTCGCAATGCCGAGATATATGACGATACTGTCCTCCACTGTGTAGTGAGACATGTCTATCCCTTTGATAACAAAGAACCCTCGCCCGTCATGAAGGATCTTGGAACACTTTTCGAGCCTTTCCGTGAGATTGGGTAACGGAAAGTTTGCCTTGGACACTTCATCCCCATCGAGACAGAGAGCTATTTTGTTTTATTGGTTAGTCTCACGGTCGTATTGACTGATGCGTACTCTTACGTCTCACCTTTAAACGCCTCCAGAGCCTTTTCAACATCGGCAATATCCTCACTAGTTAGGCAGAGAGCGTACAAGCTTTTGTGAGGAAAGTCTTGTCCTGACCAAACAAGTTGCCCAGACAACGTCGTTGGAATGCGGACCGCAGAATTTCCACCCAATGACCTTGTGCAAATGCGTGTTTCTTTCAATCCGTCGGTGCTGTTTTCAGTTGGATCCCCGGCGTTGATTGGTTGTGTAACAGACTTGGTGAAAGTGCCGAGGGCCATGTTTTACTTGCATACGGAGTACGAGGTATGCCCAATAGCAAAACCAAAGTATGACTACAGTTTGGATTTGTTAAAGACACTCAAAGGTACCAAAAGAAGCGAGCCATCAAAACTTCTCAGCAAGTGTGGGTTGTTGACCCATAATGTACTCGGCGTTGATCCCTGACTAACTCATTCCATGTTCGATTCCATTTGAGAACATTCACACAGCCAGATTCCAAGATATAAACAGTTATAAACGCCATGAGCAGCATTCGCCCTCTGCATTGTCCCGTGAATACATCATGTTGGAGTCATAAGTGACACCTGGTTCTGATTACTCTTCTTCTGCAAGGTCCTGTCAAAGAAAACGACTGAATCACGGGCTCGATGCAACTGCACACCGGACGCAATGCCATACAGGACACCAATGGGCCCGGCGTCTTCCAAGGACAAATCCGTTCCATTGGTATGAGAAGACTGTAGCCTGCCATATGGCACTAGACATTCCGGCGAGATCGGGGGCCGGCATCTACTAGGGCTCTTGCGATTTAACGACTCGGTAGCCGAGCTTGCTATTCATGACTCGTGAGTCGTGAGGCAGCAAGGAAGGAATAAAAGCGTCGGATTAATCACTCACAAACTACCAGAATAGGGTTTTCTTCCACTTTAGGTTTATCAGTGGCTTAAGAGTGGTAGCGTATTGAAGAGTTTCAGGTTCGCACAAGGTTCCGCCGCTGCCATATATAGCATCGTGACATCGAAAAAGAGCCACACACCCTGCAGAGGGCCCGATATCCTGGTGCTTTCAATACAGGGCCTAAGTCTGGCCACTCCTTTTGGCTTGGGCGAGGATCCAAAATGTGACTGGGAAGCTGGAATATCAGCTAAAGACTTTCAAATATGCATGCAACGGTTTCGAGCGTGCCTGTGCGAGAAGCATGGCCCATCAAACAACAAGCATATCAATACATACAAGAAATCAGTGATGACAAACGGCCCGCCGTCCAAGTCCACTTTGCCCCTGATCTTTCCAGCACTGATAAGAAATAAGCACCCCTTAGGCAGGTTTCCTTATGCGGCGGACGGCTACTCGACGGTGGTGACGCCTATTGTTGAAATCCAAAACAGCTGGTTGCCGGTTGCTGTCGACTATAAAAAGAGCCGTCGACCTGCCTGCGAAAAAGCAAAATATGCTGACCCAAACATGTCGATCAACATTTCCGTTCTTTGTTTGGAACCACAGAGTAGAAAGTATATCGTCACCTCTACGAGGTAGCTGAGTTTCTTGGCGGCAGGCAAGCTGCGTGACGATGGTGAGCACGAGGCAGCTAGAACTGATTTTAGTATTACTACTCCGTACGGAGAACAGCCTTTGGGTGACAGAGCAGGGTTCGATGCATGGGCAGGCCTTTGAATTTCAACCGGTGTAGGGGTAGGGCCGCAACCGAATGGGCCGTACAGGGAATCCGGCTCCATCCGCGCAGGAGTATCAACGTGACACGGACAAGGGGTCGATCAGAAGGGCCAATTATTCATAGACCAATCTCGGCCTGGTCCGAAGCAGAGCATCCGGAACGTGCCCGTGGCCCCCGTTGTAGGGCTATTTTGTGGTCGAGAAGGCCACGCTCAAGACTGGATACAAAGAGGGAACCAGGGGCCAGAGGCTGCATGATGGGCAAATGCGTACTCCGTATCATGTACGGAGTACTTAAGTACTTACTAAGTACTTATGTAATGTGGGCGGCGTTGGGTGTTGGGACATCAGGGACCCGGAAGGATAACCCCACCTGCTGGTAGAACTTCGGTACCTGATTACGTCAGCACTCGGGCAGCCAACAAGCAAGCACACACCACCGCGGCTTCGCACAGTCAAGGTATCCGTACCCCGTACTCCGTACATCACAAAGACTGACATGGTACCAAGTAAAAGAAGAAGAAAAAAAACCGGATAAGGTGACAGTCACTTAAGTATCCGTTGGCCTGCGAAAGATAACTCAAGTATGGAGTACGGAGGTCCGAGTGCGCCGTGCCTTGGTATCATACTTATGTACTTAAGTACATATGCACATGTGTGGGTACCAGTCAGGATTTCACGATTTCATGGCTCTTGCCGAACCAGGTGGCGGATTTCGTGGATGGGCACTTTCCCTTTCCATCATGACGCCCAACGCCCAGCGCCCAACACAATCACTGCAAGACCGAGGATGGAGCACAATAGAGTCCGCATGTCCTGTCTGGTCAGGTACAATCCACACGTGTTGCAGCTGTCAAATACCAGTCCCTGGACCTTGCTCAGATCTCGCCTTAGCGGGTGCAAGTCGCCGGATTGCAGGGTCTCACGTTCAATGTTTCGACAAGGGTTGACAGGTTCGTCACAAAAGAAAGACGAAGCCATGACCCTAAAGCGGGGAAACTCCATGTCACGACAATGCTGTGATTCTCGGTGAGAACCGCAACCCCCAACCACCACCGCATACGCAGTCGGTTTGGACACTTTGAGGCGTCCACCGCTTTAATCTCTCGCGCGTTGGCGTTTGCATGCCTGGTGCTGCCGTATCACCTCACATATCATCGGACGCCTGGCTAATCGCGTGCCCCGCCTCATGCTCCAGGGACCAGAGCTATCCTGGGTGCTGCTCTCCCATCCTCGCCATTGTGGCCCCTTTCTGCTTCGTGCTCCATGCTGTATTCTCTCTCTCTGGTATTGTCTGTCCGAGAAGGCCGGTTACCGTTTGAATATACTCCGTATAACCTCTTTTTTTTTTTTTTTCCCCCTCAAAGCGCGGAGACGGAGTATTGGTCACCTGTGCTACACACCTGCGTGGGACCCTTCTCCCTCGTCACGACCGTGTGTAGAATACAATACATAGAGCGCCTTCATGGATCCCACAATCAGTATTCGATCGGGACCGATGGTAAGTGACATGTTTTTTTTATTCTCGTCCTATTGTGTGTTTCCATTTGAGTTGCTCACCGTCACTGCGCGGCCCGGACGACCTAGTAATGCCCCATATCTTCTCTCTTGTCATGTCTGGCAAACAAACTGCCTGCAAGCCTCCATTGATTCACCCCCCCCAATCATTATGATAAGTTACTCCATATTTTACTGTATTGTACGGAGTATGGTACCGAGTACTTGTTATTGCCCGTTAAATCCTTGCTCTTCTTACACGCAACTACCAGGCTGAGCTCTGGGCGCAAACCTTCCGGTAGCCGTGTGGGATCAACGACCCTTCTGATTTTCCAATGAGGAGCCTTAAACCGTGATAATACACTAGTACATGCCTCTAGCAGAACGAGAGGAGGGTCTCCATAGTCAGTGTACCCCGGGGCCAAACTCTAGATTATCTCACATGAGTTTTGACGGGGGTTATTTCTTCAACCGGACCTTCTTGGCCTGTCAACTACATACCAACACAACACAACACAACACAACACATCAATGATATCACCCTTTCAAGTCTGCTGACCCATCTTCTCAATAGACCAAGCAAGGATCGAAGCGCAAACGAACCACCAGAGATGAACCACCTGCAGCAAATCGGGCTTCACGACGGAATAGTGACCAGTTTCCTGGTGAACGCAGAGTCCGTGACCAGACGCAAGTAACGGACTCACCCGGTTTTGCTTGGCATGTCAGCCCCAGCACAGATACAACCGAAACACCTCGGCCCAGCTCAACAGCACTTGTATCGTCGTACGCAGCCAGCTTACCATCTCACCATGGATATCGTGAGACCGCCGTTCGCCGTCGCCATGGATCTACCCTGTTGGTTGACCAAGTCCAACCGAGCCTTGCATCTACAGGCGCCGGTACCCTATCCTGCGCAATGCCAATCGCGTATACTCAAGCACCGTTATGCGGGAGCTCAATCCCGACTACGGGACTACTTCACTCCCAAGGGGATGCTCAGGTGTATAATAATAACTACTGTTATGGCCTAGGCCCAGACTTTGGTGAAATGAATGCCGTGGATCACCAACGGCCGTCACATCAAGGCACTCTGGTATCACCCTGGCCAGTCTTCGCCGATGAGAGTCGAGGGCAATGGCAAGGTCTAATAGTACAAGGTAGTCCAGTCAGTACCACGGAGCATACAAATATACAGCTTTACCCCGGAATTGTCGGTTCCAGCAATCTACAAAACTCTTCTCCCCACGACGTGTCTTCCTTTCAGCCATCGATATTTGGCTCAGCCGTCGAGGCTCAGCAAAGTTCCTTTTCGACAGCGTACAACCCCTATCCGTTTGTCCCCGAATTCAGTGCAACTACCACTTCCACGCCTGATAATTCGCCAGTACAGAATAGCGACACGTTGCACGTCTGCGTATCAAGTGGTCAAACCGCAGTCACACTGACGAGCGAGCAGGCCTTCGCTGAAATGGGTGGAGGCGAGATACATCTCCCACAGCCCTGCAACCATGACACCTATAAGCATTTTGCTCCAGAACAGGGAGCACAAAATGTCAGTTCTGCACCGCTTCTGCCGATAGTCACAAAATCCCTGCTAGACGACTTGGAGTTACCTTCCACAGGGCCAGAGCTGGGCAGCGACCTCTTGTCCTCACAACCAGTGGTGCCAGCAGTGCTAGCGATGCGACCTGCGCAACTCGTACCACAAAATTCCAACCCGGAGACTGGACAACCGCTGACAACAAGTCACCGCCAAGATGATGTTGAGGCAGCATCTGACAGCAGCCGTCCGGGCTCGGCTAGCGGAAAGAACGCCATGCACTTGGTCAAGAAGCGTGGCCCATTTAATTTGCAGAAGCGTAAAGAAACTGCCGAGACCCGAAAGAGGAAAGCATGCCTGAGGTGTAGAGTTCAGAAGATTCGGGTAAGCAGATACACACACACGCGCGCCTTAGGACTCGTTATTTCTTAACCCCACATACAGCGATTGGCTAATAGATAAGTTAGTGTGACGCAGATCAAGATGAGGTCGAAGGCTCCTGCCTCCCATGCCAAAGCTTCTCGAAAGTCTCCAAGAAGACCCTCCACCACGTCTCTTGCTTTC